CGCTGACACATTTCACAAGTGTTTGCAATAACGCTGGATATACTTCATCATCTTCGGCCAATAATACTTCTCTCGTACTGCGACGTAAGTCTTGTACGATCCAGGATGGCCTGCCGTTACGGCATCGTGGTTCTCGCAAATGACACGGTTTCTCAGATCTTCGTCATCCGGAATATACAGTCGCGGACTTTCATCTTCACCGGTCTGGTAGTATAATACACCATCACTGAGCGAGTAATGCGGAACGTTGTCTCCAAGCTTAAGCTTCTTGACAATTCCCTGCAAGTCCTTGTTCCACGAATACATCTTCTTTGCGGACTGTGCCACAGTCACGTTGTTCGCTACCATAGTTGCCACAATCTCACGGTTTTGAGCCGTATCAAGAAGTTCCTGAAGGCTTACTTGCGCAGCCTTATGCTCGAACTCAGGGTTTCTTGATAATGCGTCTGCGACTACATTTGTTTCTCCTGGGATCCACTTGAACATGGGTCGAAACTCCGCGAGTTCATTGAACCACCGCGCAATGCGTCTATTCGCTGTCTTCTGCGTAAGAATCATCTCGATGCTCTTATGATCGGTTTCGACAAGAAAGGGCTTGTCTAGCAGATATACACGCCATGTCTTCAGAGCATGCATGATTGCGAGAAGCTCTTGTTCGCGTACTGGGTAGTTCAGCTCTGCAGGTTTCATCTTCCGGCCAGTAAAGGCAATTGGATGTTCCAACTCTCCCTCCTTTTGAAATAAGACTCCCCCAATTGCGAAATTTGAGGCGTCCATTCGAATACCGAAAGGCTTGGTGACATCAGGAAGACGGAGAACCGGTGGTGATGACAAGCGTTTCTTTAGCTCATCAAAACACCGCAGCTGGTCCTCATTGAGTTCGATCGCATCTCTAGAGCGTTTTCCCTTGATACATTCGTGCAAAGGACCTGTAAACTGAGCGAAATCCTTGCAAAATCAAGAAACGTAGACAGTTGTCCCCAGAAAGCTTTCCATTTGCTTCTTTGTCTTGGGAACAGGCCAATCTGTGATAATCTTCACCTTATCGGGGTCCATTCGAACGCCCTTGCGTCCGACAAAGTCACCTAAACATGGGATTTCGTCGACACAAAATTGGCACTTGGACAGCTTGATGTATAGCTTCTGCTCTTCACATCTCCTCAAAACCCTGTCCAACGCGGCAATATGCTCGTCGACATCTTCACTCTTGGTGTACACGTAAATGTCGTCGGAGTAGATCCGCATCACGTCACGTAAATCCCTAAAAACCTTCTGTAACAACCTGTTAAAGGTTCCCGGGCTACCGCTGAGTCCCATGGGCGTGACGAGATATTCAAAAACACCGTCTGGGGTCGAAAAAGCAGTAAAAGGTATATCTGATTCACCTAGCTTAACTTGGTAGTAACTCCAGAGTAAGTCCATGCACGAGTACCAATAGCTGCCGGCCATCGCATCAAAGGTATCTTCTTTGCGAGGCATCGAAATAGCCGGTAGAACCGTAGCTAAATTCAACTGACGATAGTCGTGCACAATTCGCCATCCGACTGGTTTCTTCACACAGAAAGTCGGTGCACAAAACGCTGACGTACTCGGTCGAATGATGCCAGCTTGAACCATCTCTTTGGTCCATTCCTGTATCGTTTTCTTCTGATCAGGACTTTGGCGCCATTGTTTCACCGAAATAGGCGAAGTATCAGGCTTGAGCAGAATCTCATGCTCAATCCCTTCACGTACTGGGGGTGTCTCATTCGGAAGTTCCGTGCGAAAAACCGTATCCGCATACTTACGTAGCGTATCGTACGCCGGATTGTCCTTGAGAGCATCCCATCCTTGACTCTTGAAGCGTTCCGCCCTCTCCGAGTCGTGCGGATTGATAACAAACACCGCTTCGATGTCCTTGTCCCTACGCAACATTTGCTGGAACTGGTTGGACGAAATAAACTTCGTTCGTCCAAACTGGCCGTTGTGGCCATGCTGCCGATAGTAGTTGTAGATCTCACGGCTCTGCGCAATTCTGGCGCGGCGTTGTCCTGCCACCCAACGGGCTGGACGTGTCTTCGGCAGTCTCAACTTCACAGTCTGCGTGTTCTCCACGCTGATGCGAGGTGCAATCTGTCCAGTACTCCAGTCGATGTCAGGGTTCTGCTCCCGCAGCCACATCATGCCTAAAACTATGTCCTTTCCCTCAGGAACAGGCATGACTTGGAATGTTCCCGTTGTCAAGGGAAATCCTGGTAGCTGTAGAGACATCTCTACAGTCCGACGTGGACGATGCACAATCTGATCATAACCGAGATCAACTTGCATCATGTCACCTTCAGTGACATCCAACCTAAGCTTCATCACTAACTCCTCAGTTACGCCGTTCAGGCTACTGCCGTTGTCAATGAATATCGTGACGGGCCTCTCTTGGTCTTCCGTCTTGAATGCTCGAGCTTCAGCCTCTAGGATCGCATACACTGCGCCCTGCATGTACCGGTTTGCTTCCGTACGTTTTGGCTGAGTACAATCTGGAGAAATGTGACCAACCTTGTCACAATTTCTGCACGTAGCTGTCTTCTTCCAATCATCGTTCCTGCCCATTTTCTTTTCGTAACGCTTGTTGTTCTGCTGTTTCGATTTAGGCAGATGATGCCCCGAGTCCGACGACCCTTTTGAAGGCTTCGAAGGTGCTCGAGGAGGTTTCCCGGAGTAGTGCGCAAACTCGAAGTTCGAAGCAATTTCAATGGCTTCTTGTAGCGTTGATGGACTCTCTTCTTTGATCTTCGCTGCTGTTTCTTCACGTAACCCGTTTTGAAAGAAGAATCGTTTCTCCAACTCACTGATCGTCAATTCTGTCTGCGACAGCAAGTCTTGAAACTTGGAGACATACTCGTGAATAGTCTTGGTCTGTTTGAGACGAAACATTCTCTCGCGAAGATCATACTCGAAGTCCTTTGGTCGAAAGCGCGTGCGCAGCTGTTGCTTAAACAACGACCACGTGGGGTTCACACTCGCTCTCTCACATTCGGCTATAAAAGCGCGATACCAGTTCAACACTGACTTGCCTAAGTTGCTGGAGATTATCGTCACGAAACCTGACGATTCTGCCTCCATTAACTCACGTCTGCTTGCGTAGTACTGCTCGTTGGCAAAGATCCACAATTCAATGTCTTCACCATACTTTCCTTCATACATCGGAGGGTCCTTCTTCTTCTGCTCACCCCTAGCGGCAACGAGATATTCGAATCTCGCATTAGCTTGTTGCATTTGGGCTTGCATTTGCGCTTGCATCTGAGCTTGATACTGCTGTTGCTGCTGCGTAATGTATACGAGCAGCTGCTGCATGGACATGGTCTCAGGTCCAGCCGCATCCTGAGCAGCATCAATAGCAGGGGAGGCTGACTCAGCCTGTGCATTGGCACTGGCCCCTTCTCTTGACGCTTGCGATCTTGTTTTTGTTCGCATCGTGGGTTGGGTAGCTTCAGCGTCGCTCGAAGCACTAACACGGCTCTGTTGACGAGGACGAGGGTTCGGTGACGGGCGCTCAGCTGCACGACTCCTTCTTTGAGCCATTACAAGCTGGACTTCTCAGCGCAAGTCTTTTAAGATACCAGAACCCTATACCGAAGTTAAACGAAGCGAAAAAAGGTTCCGATTAAAGCTCCTCCCTACAATCTACGTTTCTTGTCTACGTGGATGGAGTGATCAAAAGATCCTTCAAGAATTTCTTGGGTCTGCTCAATACGTTTCTTGAGCAATTCACTGAAGTCGTGAATGACGTTCCGGGCGGCTGCGTCCTTAGAATCCGGAATTTCGTTTCGGATCAGGCGGACGAGCTTAAGTTGCTTGACCGTTGTTAGCCACAAGTCCAGACGAAGCTGATCGAGCTGCTTGTGTCGATCAGTCAAGGACTTTGTGCTGTTTACAGACGGATCTTCGGGCTGGCGAGTCTTTCGCTTACCCATAAACAAGCACACTGAAACAGATGCAGTAGCAACGGATGTAGATCAAGCACAACCAGTGAGTATCTAATCGGACGTTCACTCCTTTAAGATCTGATGCGGGATAAGGATCCACGTAACGTGAAAGCGTTAGACCGCAGGCCACCAGAAAGCGTTTCCGATTGTGTGTACCACACTAGTGCGCAACCACACCAACTAGCCACTGAACGTAACAGTTCGTGCTGAGGCAATACCCTTTGTGATCTAGTGCTTCCCCAAATATGTAGCTGGCACCAATAACCTCAGGACAGCTCGCTTCTGGCTATGCCACCACGAGTGCCCTACTTGAACCGAAGCTTGACCAACAAGTGCTACCATGTCACGAAAGTAGCGAGGAAGCGTAGGAGCGTAGACGGCGAGTACGGCGCCGTAGACAGTCGTAGGGGAGGAGAGGAGTTGCTGCTCGAAAGCAAATTGAGAAGTGATTAATCAGTTAGAGTTGGCGGCGGCAAGCTAGTAGCTGCCGCACAACCAGTAGTTCTTGACAACCGGATATTCACGCACGTATCCAGGTCCATCCTAAAACATATTTTTCTCAAATCCTGATTTTCTCTGTAACTACCAATGAAAGCCTATGAATCCTAATTCTTATCTTGGTCGGAAATTTCGCACAGCGTCCCATAATCACAATTTCCGGCTGGAAGCTTGATTGTTGCAAATCCATGGGATTTTGGACCAATAGGATTGTAGTATGATGTAAAGACACGCAATCTTAAGTTTACGCTGATCAGAATAATCTGACCAGCTGAACTCAAATAATTGACGTGGCTGTTCACTGCCATGCCATTGGCTAGTGACCACCACGTCACATGGGGAGCCAGAGTGACGAACGGGTGAAGGTGTTGCTGCTGGTTATTGATGATGCGAGGCCGCTGTTGGAGAAGGAGGCCTCGAACGCAATCAACTACTTCCGTCATTTGCGAAGAAACGGGTTCCTTTCACAGCTTCCAAATCGACTTGCAAGCTAAGCATAGCTGCAGCAATTGCTTCAACATTTAAGTTAAAAGAACATGTATTCTACCGTCTGTCGAAACTCGACACCACGCTCGCGCACCGGAATAACGGGGCACGCCCATCGACTCTAGGTGCTCTCGTAAATTTAATCCAGTCGAGATAATTCTTTGCTAAACTCGTCCGAAAATTGTCTTACTTCTGGCGGATACTTCTGTGCTTTACAGCGGTAAGGGTGGCTCCAGGCTTTAGACGGTCCACATCGGTGGCACCCGCGCAGGTGGGTCATCACCCAGCCTCAACCGCCATATATCGAACTGCGTAGCCATTCTTCGAAGTGCTGGTACCATATCTGCAGGAAAACTAATTATTACGGCCTTCTCAATCAGAACCTCCACAGCGGCCCGTTGTTCATCAGTCAGATTCACGCTACTTTCAATTTGAAGCTCATCGATAGCATCGAACTGGTCATCTTCTACATTCTGTACAGCATTAGCTACAAACATGTCAAGTCGGCGTCGAACGCCAATCCCTAACATTGTTAACACACCCCATACAATGTTGATACGTTCGTGTACACTAGTCACAATTATTATGATACATAGTACTTGAGTTCAGTATACTAATGCGTGCATGATTAATGTGTCGCTGTGCCAAAATCAATTGTTTTATTGGAGACCTGGTGTAAACTGCATTATCGCAATCGTTTGCTCATGTGGCCTATTTTGTGTGACAACAGGAACAACATATCTAAATTGCACGCTCTAACTCTAAAATTTGAGTGAGCTACAGCCACCGACGTGGGTGCGTGATCTAATGTGGCGCGGAGTGTATATAGCCATCTTCCAACACAATCGAGCGGGTATGTGTCGGCAGGCACTCAGCTAGTCAACATAGACTAGCAGTTCCTCCCCGCGGGAGGCAACCCGCCTTTCTGACTCTGCCTCGCCTCAAGCAGGTCGCGATCCTCTTCTGTCGCTGTCGGGCAACGGCTGAGGTAATGAGCCCCACCACAGTGAAAGCACTCAGTCTGTGGGGCACCTTTCTTGCCTTTCAAACCCTTTTTCTCAACCGGTTTATTTGTTTGTTCTCCACGAAAAAGACGTCTTCGTACGTTTGTCGGGCTGTTGTTGCTGCTCGCTATTTGGACATTTCCTCTGGAAGCCTTGTTGCTGATGGCCCTTCACCTTCGGCTTAATGTGGGGTCTCTTTTTGCCGGTTTAGGGCACGCTCCTCGATCGCTTGCTCGAGTGCTTGCTGATGAATTGGCTAAGAAATCTTCGGAATACTCGTCTAAGCCTCAGGGAAGCGGTAGTCAATTTCGTCCTTAGTTTTTGCTTGTAGCTTTGAGAGGCAGTGAGTTGATCAACACTTTGTATTTTTTCTTTGGCCCCTTTTTCACTTTGAAAGACACTAACGAATTCATACTTCTTGATGAGTAGGAACAAGAGAAAATATTTGATCACGCGAGAGCCAATACCACTGTTGCTCATGTCCATCATTAACTCTTTTGCGAATAACTCGTTGACAGGTGGAAGAACTTAGCTATGGTATCTGTAAGTCGTAGCATGTATCTTTCCCAACAAGAAACGGTACGTCAGATCGCCAATTGCCACTTCTCAATTTGCTTCACACAAGGCTCCAACATATCTTTGTCAAATGAAAGCTCGGACGCTTTTCATTATCGCACCGATGTCTTCTTTCCCGTTCTTACAGCGCTCTTTGACCACGTCCTCATACTCCTTACGGAGTTTTAGCCACTCGGCAAGGTCATCTCACGCCACCGACGTCACCTTTGGCGCAGTCACTATTGAGAAGATTGGCTTCGGGAGCTGGGATACGCTAGTCTTGCTCGCTGGCTTAGTCGCATGTGCCTTCTCTACTTAGGAACTTGTCTCGGTCACGTTTCCTTTGTCAACGTGGTCCCGGTTGACGTCGCTGGTCGTAGACGCCATGTTGCTGTCCAATCAGTAACTTCTAGTCGCAGACTTAACAGCTAAGGAATTCTTAGTAGTAGGTCTAGATAGAAAGCTACTGCAAGGAAAGCTGACGCTTGCTGTGAGCCCAATTCTATTGTGAGTCCTATCTCGTAAGTTCTAAAGTAAAACGTAGTTTGCTAGATCTCTAGTCGTTTCTCATTGCTATCTTCTGTTGCCAACTTGGCATCGCAGGTATGCGATGCCCAGTGAGCGGGAAAGGCTTGCTATCTGGATCCCCACTACACTACTGAGACGTCGAACGGGAAGCGTTTTCCCGCGCGATCAGGAAGACGCAGACCTTTATATCCCAATTTTCTGTCAAAGAACAGGAGATGTGTCGCTCATCTTGAAAAAATAGCAACGAACGAAGACAATGGCGACTAGGAGTTCCCTCACTCAGCTCTTGACAGTCTAACGCCTGCGAGTGTGCTCCAAGTGAGCGCTGACGATAGCACTAAACACGAGCTGTCGCCGACAACTTGTTGGAGCTCTTCCTTCGCTAGATGATCAGAATTTACGTGAGTCTACTTTTAACCTGTTCAAAGTATCCCGCTCAGTCGTATGCCATTGACAACGATGGACATAAGAAATCGTACTCGTTGTGTCTTCGAGGAATGTGTCGGTCACCCGAGCAGAATCATGAAGCAGCGGTGAAATGCTGGCCATTCATGATGTCCGCGAAAAATTCAGAGCAACTCGCAGGTAGTGCCGATTCGACATGGCAACTTACATTTGTAAGCATGAACGCAGCGCTGTATTAGATGTGATGCTACAGCTGACTCGAAGAAAAAAAAGAAAAAACGCAATTTTTTAGTCGAGTTGCTTTGTTTCAGTGAAAACAGGAATGACAAGAAAAGTGCATCAAAGCGATTTATTTTCATTTAGCGGATAATGCCGAATAGAGTGCTTTTCCAAATAGTATACCTAGACCAAATTGTGTACCGTTTTGGCGTTACTCAAATAATATTGTACCGTACCAAATATAATACCATCACCACCAGCCACCAATGACCAGAACCACCAATTTTCTTGGTCGGCTCTCTTTATTCTGAGTTTTACCAGTCCCTACAATCCCCCAGCAGCCAAACCACTCCCAGTGAAGATGCCGTCGTCACGCATGCCCAAGTCAATGGCCGAGAAGAAAGAGGTCGTTCAGTGGATCGAGAAAAACGGCGGTGTGCCCACCCCAGCCGCTGTTAACTTCAAGAACGAGCGCGGCAGGAAGGTTTTTAAAGCTCAGGTGCGCTACTGGTGGAAGAAGCGCACCGCTATCAAGGCCGTACCGGCGCTACGCAGCCGCCTGACTGGGGCGGGCGCTAAGCCACGGCTCTCCGAGATCGATGATATCTTGTTCGATCAAGTGCTGTTTCGCCGGTCTGCAAAAGAGAAAGTCTCTTGTAATATTGGATTCGCTACGCTGGGCAGTGGCTTGCCGCATCTGAGCTGGGCGATATAGATTTCATTGCGTCGGACCGCTGCGTCAACGGCTTCATGCGTCGGTATGGGCTGTCGCTGCGCCGCACCACGAATCTTACCGTGCAAACCGATGACGTGTTGACCGACCGAGCGGTAAGCTTTCTAAGCTATCTCACGTCACGCATCGAAGGGCTTAGCGATGATCACATCATCCTGATGGACGAGACGGCAGTCTACTTCGAGGACCCGCGCCGCCAGACGGTGGGCCAAGTTGGAGCTCGCCACGTCGTGCTAAAGTATATGGGATTTGCTTCAATGCGGGTGACGGCTGTGCTGGCCGTCACGGCAACGGGCCGCAAGCTGCCCCCGCTGGTTGTTTGGAAAGGGGCCAAGCAGGATGGCAAGATTGAGCGCCACGGTAACGTTCGCGTCGTAAGCCAACCCAAGGCATGGGTCGACTCGGCGCTTCTCACTCGTTGGCTGGATCTGGTGTTTCCGCCCATTTTCGACACGTAGACGCAGGGAAAAGCGCCGATCTGGAACAGCATGCGTGCACACATCTCTAAGAAAAAAAGGTGAAAGCTCGGTGCGCCACGAAAGGGGTGCAGATGTTGTCATCCCAGGGGGACTGACACCCTTCGTGCAAGCGTAAGATATCGGGATCTACAAGTCGTTCAAGGACAAACTGTCGCCCATCATTGACAGCTGGAAGAAGTCTGATGCTGTGCTCTACACTCGCGGAGGAAATCCAAAGCCACCATCGGTTGAGACCGTGGCGAACTGGGTGAACGTCGCTTGGCGCGATGTTCCAGCTGACGTCGTTGAGCGCTCGGTGGCAGCAGCTGGGTTTCTCCAAGATTTGGAGATTGGCATGTGGAGCGACACAACGTTTACGGCGAGCTCTTTTGCTCAAAGTGGAAGGAGCGCATTATAGAAAATGCTGGGACAAACTGTCGCCCATCATTGACAGCTGGAAGAAGTCTGATGCTGTGCTCTACACTCGCGGAGGAAATCCAAAGCCACCATCGGTCGAGACCGTGGCGAACTGGGTGAACGTCGCTTGGCGCGATGTTCCAGCTGACGTCGTTGAGCGCTCGGTGGCAGCAGCTGGATTTCTCCAAGATTTGGAGATTGGCATGTGGCGCGGTGGTGTAGGGATTTCCAGATTCGACCATACGCCAACCTACTTTCGATCAAGAATCGGCTCGGTCTGATAACCCAGAGCTTAGGAACAAAGGATCACGGTAAGTACTCGGCGATCTGTCCGGATTGGATAGCCGCTGAGCTCAACGGTCGCCGGAACTCAGCTGAAGGGTCGGTAGAGATCCGAAACGACTACATTTCATTAGATATTTGTATGAGAAGCATAGGATTAAATAGGGGAAGCCGAAAGGGCTCCCAGAAGATAACAGAGCAGAATTTTCCTAGTCCAAGACACGTGTACACTTTTCCGGTAAGTCCCTGCATAGGGCTGGATTATGCCTGCCGTCAATACTCGAGAGGCATAGCTTGTAGGGTATTGACTGGTAGCGCCAAGAGATTAGGTTGGTCCGGGTAGGACAAAGTCTCGCTACGCGCGAAAGAAAGTCCCGCATACTCAGCGGGCCGGTACGTCGGATAGCCCGGGTGCCGTAACACTTCTAGCTGAGCAGCCTCTGCGCTCGGTGACCTGTAAAAGCGCTCGCGCGCCGTCGTCCATCATTTGGTGGAGGGCACAGGGTTGTGAACGAGCTCAGCCGAACCAAACTCGGCGGAGCCTCGGAAGTGATCTGACTTGGTTAGTCGGAACCGGGTGGAAGCAAGCCACTCGTCTGTCCCGGAAGGGCCGGACCGCGAGGGGACCACCCTTTGCGCAGGCCATACAAACCGCCGACCTAACTCGGCGATTCGTTGTGGTTTGTGTAAGGAATCCACATCTGACGATATTTGTGTGTTCTACTACACCACAACTGGTGCCGCGACCCGGGAACAGGAGTGTGTGCTTGTTTTTATAGGTGCCAGCTAACCAAGTTAAGAGGAAGAGAAGGGAAAGAGAAGAGTGAAGATGGTCAAGGGATCAGCAACTCCGAGCGACGGAAGCCCAGCGACGGCTGGAGGATCGCCTCTCGCGGGGTCGGACCCGGCGGATCAACGACTCAACGCCA